TTCTTGGCATTTCCATGTTCTTTCTTTGCCCAGGCCAATTTATGGGTTGTTTCTGAAAAAGCGGGCTTTGGAAACAGTCACTTCTTCCCCTCCAGTTTCTCCCACCTCTGTTCACCTCTCGGTAAAGCTGTGTACTCGCTCCAAGGAATATGACTGGCTTGGGGAGCTCGGGAGATGTGGGGAGCCGCATAGGTGGCAGAACAGACGAAGCGAGGGCTCCCTCCAGCTCTCTGCGTGGTGGACCCTCAGGAAGGCAACTGGGTTGAGCACTTGACAATGAGTCTAACTGACGAGGTGGTCTTCCCAGAGCCTTCCTTGGCACACCCACCTTCCCAGCCCCATTCCTCAGTTTCCCCGTCAGTTCAGCGGGGATAATGTGACCGGCACCTCCTTGATTCAGAGTGAGAGGAATTAGCGGTGGCCCTTTGAGGTTCTCCTGAGAAGAGTGCCGTCTCCTCGGGGAAGGTGTTAGTTGGCTTGTTATCTCGCTGGCAGGGATCAGCTGCTATGAAAAGCCGTCGATTTTGCTGTGATCACAGAACAGGCTGTAGAGAGAGCAAAATAATAATCGTGGCAGGTGTGTCAGAAGTGTGACGCGCTTTTTCTGGAATTTCTATTTTGAAGGCCCATTCCTCCCACTCAAGGCAGTCAATTCTGGGCTTCATTTCTCTCTGCCCCTGGTTGGTCTTATTCCGGGGGACAGGTGGCACTCAGGGCTTAGCAACCCAAGCAGGCCCCCATGGAGACCCCCCTCGCGCAGCTTTGCCCTTGGTTCTGAACCTTTTTCCTGGTCACTCTGGGCCCCTCCTGGGTTCTCTGGAATTTATTCTGGGGCTGCCCGGCTTCGGGTGCAGGAATCCTGAGGGCTTCCTCTGTCCCTCCCCTGGACCTGGACATGTGCCGTGGGCTGTGGCTGCTCTGTGTCCTGGGGCCTCTCCCTGTGGCTCTAGGGAATGGAGTCCAGGCCACCCCTCCACCCAACTGCCCACTGAAGCCAAAGCTGGAGGGTCTCCTCCCCTCCGTCCTGACTCTCCTGCCTCTCACATCCTCCCAACCGGGGACTATCACCCGAGGATTGGGAAAACTGGCTCATCCTCCTGAGATTTCCCCTTAGGGCTTAGGCTTTGGAATTCAGGAGTCTGTACCCTGTTTCTGCCACAGCAGCTCCAACAGAAGCCCTGCCCGGCTATGTCCCTCCGCATTTACCATTTTGGAGCCAGCTGCGGGCAGCACTGCTGTGCCTGACGGCTTTCTGGGGCCACCAGAGCTGGCTCGGTGCATCCACTTGGCCAGCTGGACACGCCAGCATATCATTGCTCCCAAGAGCGACCCTCGATCAGGACAGCTGCCTCACCCCCGGGTGGGGTAACTGAGGCATGTCTTCTATATGATCCCTTCGCCTTCCTCAGCCCAGCTGAGCTCCTGCTGCCCACAGCGGGGACTTGCTCAATGACACACTTGACAGCTTCCATCACCTCACCTTTCCCACTCCTCTACGAGTGTTTCCTGGGGTCACCTCCCAAATAAAATCCCTGTTATGACATCCTTATTTTGTGAACCCAATCTGAGACAGCATCCTTTCCCAGAGGCGGTGAAGGGAGCCTGCCGCGCTGACTGATGCGGAAGAGAAGAGGGGTAGGAGGAAAGATAGGACGAGGAGGAATCGCTAGTTAACAGCTCAAAATATGATGGCGCATCATTGAAAACTCAAATGAGTGCAGCACTTACTCCGTGCCTGGCACTACACTCAGTTACTGTTTCATCTGATCCTCCCAGTAGCTCCACTGGAGTGACATGTTCTCAGAGCTGAGGGAACAGAGTCTCAGGGATATTCACCAGCAAGCTGGGTAAGCAGGGACAGGAACTCAGGTCTGACGATTCTCCTGGGAAGCATCTTGCAATCCCTCAGCTAGCAGAGAGGATGCAGCGCCTTGAGGTCAGCCATCGTCTTCCACTTACATCAGCGCTGAGGAATTCACCTCAGCCACCTACTAATTTCCAAAAATTTCTGTCTTTAAATCTTTCTTTAAAAAATTATAAGGTCTCAAATTTTTTGAGGCAGGAGGCATGATGCTGTGAGCTCCATAATGTTAGACGGGTTTATGAGGAACAGAGAGTGAGAGAGATGTCTCAGGATTGAAAAACAGGACTGACCAAGTCCTGTGGTGTAATATTCTCACCATGGCCAGTTCCAAACTATGAACTTGACCTTACTGACCCCGAAGTTGGGAAGAGATGGAGCTGTGGAGTGCCACACCATTATATGGTATTTCCACTGTACCAATGCAATCAACATAAATAACCTCAAGAGCGCTGATCATGGTAGGATGTAATAAAACAATTAGTAAGTGATGAGCTTTGAGTATTTAGAACCTTTTTTATTGAGGTAAAATTCATTAAATATCATTAAATTCACCATTTTAACTACCTTAACTTTTAAAGTGAACGATTCAGTGGCATTTAGTATATCCATAATGTTGTGCCACCACCACCTCTATCTAGTTCCAGAACATTTTCATCACTCCAAAAGGAAGCCCTGTACCCAATTAAGCAGTCACTCCTCATTCTCCTTCTCCTCCCATGGCAACCACTATAATCTGTTTTCTGTGTCTATAAATTTGCCTATTCTGGATTTTTCATAAAAATGGAATTATCGAATATGTAACCTTTTGAGTCTGGCTTCTTTCATTTAGTGTAATGTTTTCAAGGTTCATCCATGTCGTATCATGTGTCAGTGCTTCATTGCTTGTCATGGCTGAATCATATCCCATTGTACAGATACACTACATTTTGTTTATCCATTCATCAGTTGATGAACTTATGGGTTGTTTCCACCTTTTGACTATTTTGAATTGTGCAGCTATTAATAATAATAAACTATGTACAAGTTTTTATTTGAACGCCTATTTTCAATTCTTTTGAAAGGTGTATACTTAGGAGTGGAATTGCTGGGTCACATGGTGGTTCTATGTTTAACTTTTTGAGGAGCTGCCAAACTGTTTTCCACAGTGGCTGCACCATTTTATATTCCCACTAGCAGTGTTTAAAGGTTCCAATTTCTCCATGTACTCAAAAACACTGGTTATTTTCAGTTCAGTCTTACTATTACTCTAGCCATGCTAGTTGATGTGAAGTCGTATCTCATTGTGGTTTTGGTTTACATTTTCTAATGACTAATGATATTGAGTATCTTTACATGTACTTTTGGCCATTTGTATATCTTCCTTGGAGAAATGTGTATTCAAGTCCTTTGCTCATTTTTTAATTGAATTGTTTGTTTTTTTGTTATTGAGTTATAAGTGTTCTTTATATATTCCGGATATATCAGGTACATGATTTGAAAATATTTCCCCCCAGTCTGTGAGTTTTTTCACTTTTTTGATAATGTCCTTTGATACACAAAAGTTTTTAATTTTGAAGCAGTCCAATTTATCTTTTTTTTTAAAATTGCTTGTGCTTTTGGTGTCATATCTAAGAATCCATTGCTAAATCCAAGGTCATGATGATTTACTCCTATGTTTTCTTCTAAGAGTTTTGTAGTTTTAGCTCTTACATTTAGCTCTTGCTCAACAATTTTGAGTTAATTTTTGGGTATGGTGTGAGGTAGGGGTTCAACTTCATTCTTTTACATATGAGTATACAGTTGTAATACTGTGGTTTTTAATATAAGTTATTCAACTGTAAGTTTATATAATTTAACTTTTAATTATGGTCATGTTTAACAACTGGCTTGCAAAATTCCTGAAAATTTGACAGTCAGCTCTCGTTAAGCCAGCGTGAGCTGGTACGAGCCAGTATGAGCTGGTCTGAGCTGGCGCCAGCATGCCACTACTTCCACTGCACCCTGCTTAAACAGTCTTGCTGCTGAAGGCTGGAACTTGGATTTGTTTTTCTTGAGGAGCTGAGTTGGGGGATGGTTGAAGTGTGCTCATGGAGCTCCTGGGGGATGGGTGTCTGAGGAAGAAGGATCTGGAGACCCCCAATCCTCTAGCCATGGGCCTATCTCTCATTTTCCCATTGCATCTGGCTTGCTGTCCCATGGTTCAGAGAGCATGGTTGAGTCTCTTGCTCCCTTGCCAAAAATTTGCCCTGCTGTTCCCCTGGCTGAGAGGGAGCCAACTGTGTTCCAGCTGGATCTGGGGGGGTTTTGGAAGCCCCACCTTGGAGCAGAGAGCAAGCCTGACCCTGAGACTGGGGAAGTGCTCTTTTTCCTGGTAGGGTGGCCAGATAAAATACAGGGTGCCCAGTTACATGTGGATATCAGGTAAGTAATGCACAATTTTTTAGTATAAGCATGACCCATGCAAGATTTGGGACATACTTATACTAAAAAATTAAGTATTATTTATCTGAAGTTCAAGTTTAGCTGGGAGTCCTGTATTTTCATTTGCTAAATCTGGTAAGCTTCCCCTCAGGTCAGTTTTCTTCTTTATTGCCCTCATCCAACAGCAGAGACTCAGAACTCCTGAGTGGGAAGGGACCTGGGGAGGTGCTGATTCTCTGCCCGTTTTACAGATCTGGAAACCCAGCCCCTGATAAGGAAAGGGACTGGCCCTAGTGCCTGGAATCATGGTGAACTTTGGGGACTTCACTAAGCTGAGCTACACAACTTTTCTTTTTCATGAAGTCAGCACATTTTCTGGGTGTCTCCTCCGCATGGGAACTGTTCTGGGTGTCAGGGGATGACCGTGACAAGGCTTCCATGCACCTGTGTAGAAGGCCAGACTCAAGAGTTCCCTTTGGACGTGTTAAATAAGAGGCAGGATTCAGACAGACCTGGGTCCAAATCCTGCTCTGCCGTGTATTGGCTGCATGACAAGTCACTTCCACTCTCTGAGCCTCAGTTTCTCCTTTCCTCACATGGAGACAAGGGCACTTTTCTTGGGGGATTGTTGTCAGGCTTCAGTGGGGTGATGAAATGCCTGGTGGGGGCAGGGAAGAGTTTAGGGTATGATGAGAGAAAAGAAGTATGCATGGTAAAGTCTGGTTGTTGCCCACAGGTTGCCTGGCATCCTGGGCCGCCCAGATGATGTGGGATGGAGGTGCCAGAACTCACCCGCGCTGCCTCACCTGCCAGGGACCAGCCAGCTCCTGCTCCTGGCCCCCCAGGGGCCCCAGGTGGGCAGGCCTCACCTCACCTGACCTTGGGCCCTGTCATCCTGCCGCCAGAGCAGGGCCTGGCCCCCGCCGTGTTCCTGAAGGCCCTGCCCATCCCACTGTACCACACAGTGCCTCCCGGGGGCCTCCAGCCGCGGGCCCCCCTCGTGACAGGCAGCCTGGACGGGGGCAGCGTGCCCTTCATTCTCAGCCCCCTGCTGCAGCCTGAAGGACCTGGCCCCACCCAGATGGGGAAGCCAGCGGCCCCAGCGCTCACCGTGAACATCGTGGGCACTCTGCCTGTCCTGTCGCCGGGCCTGGGGCCCACGCTGGGCAGCCCAGGCAAGGTGCGGAACGCCGGCAAGTACCTGTGCCCACACTGCGGCCGGGACTGCCTGAAGCCCAGCGTTCTGGAGAAGCACATCCGGTCCCACACCGGTGAGAGGCCCTTCCCGTGTGCCACCTGCGGCATCGCCTTCAAGACCCAGAGCAACCTGTATAAGCACAGGCGCACCCAGACGCACCTCAGCAACTCTCGGCTGTCCTCGGAGTCCGATGGCGGTGGAGGCAGCCTCCTGGAGGAGGGGGACAAGGCTGGAGGGACCTCCAGAGCAGATGGCAGGGGGGACAGCTGGAGCCAGAGAGGGGGCGACGGGGCCCAATCAGAAAGACCCCTTTCTCCAGCCGCCCAGGGCGCTGGACTCTGCCCAGTGCCCACCACACATCTTCCTGTGGCAGAGAACCTGGATCTGAGGTTGGAAGCGGTTGCCTGTCCAGGGTCCACATTTGCTGACAGCGAGGCCCCTTTGGCCCGCACCCACACAGCGCCCCCCGGGCTCCCGCTGGCCGGTGCACAGCCGCGGCGTAAGCTCCTGGAACAGAAGCCGCCGACCGCCAGCGGGTGCTCCCTGCAGCAGGCCACGTCCTCAGAGAAGCCCGGGGACCCCAAGGCCTCGGAGGGCCGGCTGAGGAAGTGTGAGAGCACCGACTCGGGCTACCTGTCCCGTTCGGACAGTGCGGAGCAGCCGCTGGCCCCCGCCAGCCCCCTGCACAGCCTGTCCGAGCACAGCGCTGAGTCCGAGGGGGAGGGCGCCCCGGGGCCGGGGGGAGCCAGGGCCCAGCCGGCGGGGCGGAGGCCCAGCTTGGAGCTGGAGAAGAAGCAGCTGGAGGAGCGCATCGCCAGGCTCATCTCGCACAACCAGGCCGTGGTGGACGACCCCCAGCTGGACCACGTGCGGCCCCGCAAGACGGTCCTGTCCAAGCAGGGCAGCATCGACCTGCCCATGCCTTACACCTACAAGGACTCCTTCCACTTCGACCTCCGGGCCCTGGAGCCCGGCCGGAGGAGGCAGGCCGCCCTCTGCTCGGCCCGCTCCAGCTTCAGCCCCCTGGACAAGACACGGCCCCTCTTCTTTCACTCGGTCCCCACTCAGCTCTCCACCACCGTGGAGTGTGTGCCCGTCACCAGAAGCAACTCGCTGCCCTTCGTCGAGGGCACCAGGATGTGGCAGGAGCCGCCGGACCCCCGGGACGCCTTCCCCAGGAGGCAGAAGCCTATGAGCCCCAGGCCTGCCCCTGCCCGACTGGTGGGCGTCCCCAGCGGTCACCCCCGGGCCCTGGTCAGACAGGCCGCAGTGGAGGACCTGCCGTGTCCCCCCGCTGGAGACACCCCTGCTCCTGTAGATGACCCGGGTGGAAAGAGAACTGCTGTAGGGGAGGGGGTGGCCGGTCAGGGCAGAGCGGCCAGTAAGAAATGCAGCCAGAGGAAGCTGAAGATGTTCTCCCAGGAGAAGTGGCAGGTGTACGGGAGTGAGACGTTCAAGAGAATCTACCAGAAAATGAGACCCAGCCACCCCGGAGGCAAGAAGGCGAGGGAGGTGACAGCAGGCAGTGGGACAGGATTGGACCTTCCTTTGCAGGAAGAGGCAGGGGGCAAGGGCACAGCCCTGGCCCAGGATGGGAGGACCCCTGTCTATGGGGACATTTCTGTGGGGGCCAAGCCAGGGCCTCGGGGAAGTCCGCCAGCTCCAGAGGGCTTCTTGGTGACTGAGCCCCCCAGGCAGAGGGAGACGGTGGCCAAAGCAGGAGGCAGTGACCAGCCTGGGGTGAACAGGGCCATCTCGCACCCTACTCTCAGCTGCAGAGATCCCCCCTGTTTGGGCAGCAAGAGCCCTCTGATTCCTACAAATGGGAGGCTGGAGCTAGGGTGTCAGCTGCCCCCACCACCTGGTCTCCTCAAAGGAAGTGACCTAGAGGCTCCCAGGCTGGTTTCACCAGATCCCAAACTGGAAGGAGGCACCCGCAGTGGTGGGGACGCAAGGACCTGTCAGCGGGCCCCAGCCATCCCGAGGCGGCCCAGTGGTAGCTCTGGGGAGCCGCAGCTTGCGGAGGACCAGCTCCCCTCGGAGAGCAAGAAGCTGAAGGTGGAGGAGCTGAGCGGCCAGGAGCAATCGGAGTCCCTGGGAGCAGGAGGAGAGGCTCCTGGGGGCCGCGTGCAGGCTACCTCCCTACCATCTCAGAACCAGGACAGTGGGCCCGGGGACAAGCCAGGAGGGCTGCAAGGGAGCGGCGACTGCACGGCAAGGGGCAGGGCTGGACAGCTGGGCGAGCCCCTGGAGACCTCCGGCACCTCCTCTGCTGGGTCTTCAGTGGCCCTGTGGCAGGCAGCGCTGAGGGACAAGGAGCCCTCGCTGCGCCCTGCAGCTGCAGTAGCCAGGAGCCACTCCCCGCTGGCTGCCCAGCCTCCCGCTCCCGGCGTCCTTGCTGCCCTGGCGGACACTGCCTTTCCTCCTCAGTACCTCCTCAGGTTACCTCAGGGAGAGGCCCACCCCCCACTGCTCGTCCCCCCAGGGACGGGGCGAGGCCAGGACCCTCTCTGTGGGAGAAGGTGTCCGGAGGAGCGGGCATCCTTTGTTGAGTCGGGACTGCGGGCCATCCTGCCTCCCAGCCCAGCCTCAGGCCTGGCCCCCAGTGGAGCAGACAGCTGCCAGGAGGACCCCAGCTGGTCCAGGCCGTGGGACTGGAGAAAGGGGGTGCAGGGAGAGGAGAAAGGAGACTTGGACACTAGCACCCCGGCAGCCGGAGAGTCTCCGGGCCCGGCCGCCGGAGCCCCCAGGAAGTCAGCATCCTTCCTGTCTACCCCAACGTGTGACTACCCGAGGAAGGAGACCCGTGACACCCGACACCTCTGCACGAGCAGTGCTTTGGCGAGGGCCAGGCCCTCTGGGGGTGTCCTGGATCCCTGGGCACCCAACAGGTTGCTAAGTGGTCCTCCCAAGAATGACCCAGAAGACCTTCCTTCTGGGGCCCTGGCAGGGCCCAGTCCCTGCTGCTCCCTCCAGCCCAGCACCTTCCTCTTGGCCCGTACGCCCCCGGGCTGGCCTGAGCTGGCCTCGTGTACCCACTCAGAGACTCCTGGGAGCTGCAGGGCCCAGAGCCCTTTCCCCACGCTGAAGGCCGAACCCCAGCTCACATGGTGTTGCTTGAGCCGCAGCCTCCCTCTGCCCATGGAGCAGAAGGAGAAGGCTGCTTCCGTGTACTCAATGCTGCACTTCCCTGGTGGCACCCCCCCGGACAAGGGTCTAGACGCCCGGCTGGTGAGCAAGGCTGTGTCGGGAGGATGGACCAGGACAAACCCAGGAGAGGGAAGGCAGGCGCAGACATTGAAGGTAACCCAGCTTTGCCCTGGGGCCCTGGGGCCCTGGGGGCTGAGGGAGCACACAGCAGGCAGGGCTTGTAATGATGGAGAGAAAGCATGAAGCCATCCCTTGTAGCTTCTGCTGTCCATTATAAAGTCTTCTCAGCCTGAGGGAAGTGGGGCTACCATACACAGGGCAGGAGAGAATAAAGACCCAAGATGCAAAACAAAAGAAAACCACAAAAAAATGAATTTCAAAAGAAAGAATTATTGTACCCAAAACTCTGGGTGAAATATTTTTCATAACTAGACATAAAACTTAACTTTGAGCTTCCTGGTAACAGAGGCAAAAAGTGAAATGAGATGCTGCCCAGGAGAGCTCTCTGGGTAATCTAAGATTATAAACCAGAAACTCTTATTGAGAAAGAGAGAGACTCCAGGCAAAAAACTATCTCTTAAAAGGAGAGAATTATTGTACCAGGGACTCTGGAGAAATAATTACTATGATCAGATTCAACTTCCCTCTGAGTTTCCTGGGAGCAGTGGCCAAAAGGGAAAGGAGATGGGTACTCTAGAGAGTTTTCACTTGGTGATTAAATGATACATTTATAGTCCCATCTTGAGAGCAAGTCCATGCATCTGGATTTTATAATTGAGGGCATAGTCCTGCTCTGGAACGTCTTGGGCCTGAGCAACTGAAGAGGGCCCCGGATCTCAGTTCTAATTTAACAGTATGGAACAACGACAGGGAGTGGACTCCAGAGCCTTGCAGGCTGTTCTTCTCTCAGGCAGAGCCTGAGGGAGTGGTAGCATGTCCTTCATCCTGAGAGTAGTACGTTAATAAAGAATGCATTGGGTCTGAGAGAGGGGGAGTCCAATGCCCAACGTAGCCCTCCTTCTTCTAAAAGGCAATTAGGTATTGGGCGTGGGGGTTCCTGGAAAGGTAGGGGGGCAGGGAAAAGAGCTGGTCATGATGTTCCCTAGGCCTCCAGGTAACACCAAAGGTCTGGGCTTTCCTTTGTAGATCCAGCCCCAGCAGGGTTCCAGAAGGTTCCACTCAGGAATGCTCAGACCATTTGGCAATGCAGTATTTCCATGCCTTGATTTCCCCAGACAGGCATCCTGTCTGCAGAGAGAGAACCCTCTGTGTTGTTCCTACCGTGAGGGCTTTGAGCAATAAAATGTCAACATGCCTGGTATTTTCAGCTCTCCTACCCAATGGCCCCAGGGATGACATCCCAGGACTGGGTGTCTGAGCCGGAATGGAAGAAAGGACTGCCTCGTAGGAGGACGAAGATGTCTCGTGGGAGTAGCAAGCAGAAAAAACTGAGCCTCAACTCCAAAAGGTAGGGTGTGTGGCCACCTCTGTCATTTCCACGTGTGCCCATACTGTCAGGAAGTGCAAATTGCGGTTTCCCTAAACCCCCAAGAAAAATATCACCTGGGACTCAAAAGGCATCTCTGTGCTCCAGAGAAAGAGTTCCTGTGTAGGAGCTGGGGTCTGGAGTCTCACGATTAAAGGCCTCAATCTGTTTCCCCGTCAGCCCACCAGGCACAGCCTCACTGGCTGTGTGTTTTCAATGGAGCCTTTCTAAGGCCAGGAATCCAGCAAATATTTGAAATAACTGAGTTGAAAACACATCCATCCAGCTTAAGTCCTGAAGAGAGAGCGTGTTAATTATTTACAGCTTTTATTGCTTTTTTAATTATGCAAGCAATGCATGTCTTTTGCAGAAAAATTAGAAAATACAGACAAGCAAAGAGAAGACAATGAAACATCCTAGTAATCTCAGCACGCAGAGATAATCACTGCTGACATTTATGTGCATGCCCTTCTGGACTTTTCTCTGTGACACGTGCATGCACGTAACCTCCCCACAACAAATGGGAGGACATGTGGATTTTAATACCACTCTCTCATCGTCTCTTTCTTTGGTTGTCTTGCTCCTTTGCTCAAAACCCTTCAGGCTGCCCACTGCGTACAAGTTAAAAAGAAAATTCTTTAACCAGCTCCCACCCCCTCTCGGCCCCCAACAAAGCTTTTCTGGCTCATTTTCCCACACTCTCCTCCTCTGCCACTCAGCATGACTTCGCGCTGTCTCTGCCTCTCTCATTCTCTAATTCCCGCTCCAAACCCAGGTCCCTGATGCTGCCCTGCAGTCCCACTCCACACCTCGGCCCTGCACACCCTCCCCTGCTCCCCCGACTGTCAATATTGGATCTGCAGCCTAGATATTCTTCAGGAAGCTGCACAGGTATTCTTCAGGAGCGGCTCCCTAGAGCCACTCAGACCCTCAGTGGCTGCAGATGGCACCCTTTTCTGAGGCCCCCGTCCCTGTTCCAGTTGTCTGCCAGGACCAGGTCTCCAGAGCGGATGTCACTGAGGGCACGCTGTGCCCCAGGCACTGTACAATGACTTCTCATTTTTCTCACGAGGAAACTGAGACACAGAGAGATCAGGCGACCTCCCCAAGACCCGGATTTGATCCAGCACATCTTACTCCAGAGCCCGTGTGCCAATCAGCGGCTTGCCCCAGTGCTCCCAGCCTGTAATGGGCTTGAGAGCTGCCTGGAGTTTTCTTGTGTCGCTGGGTTGAATCCAATGGGGCTGAGGATGCTGGCCCCGGAGCACGCTTGGAGTAGCCACGCTTTACCGGGCCCCAAGCCACATCCTGTCCTTTCCAACGCCCGTCATTTTTTTGCACATGTTCTTTATTTCACAGGTCATTCAGGGATCTTGTGACAGAAGCACAACTCTAAGTAGCCTGAACCACAAAAGGACCACTGCCTATGTCACAGGGACAGCCAGCCCTAGCCTAAACTGTGGGGACTGGGGAGGGATGGCCCCTGCAGGGAAAACGTGGGCACCTTTCTCAGAGCAAGGGAATGAATGCCGGCCGGACCAAAGAGTAGCTGCTCACGGGATTCTGGGAGCACAGGGACATTGGCGTGTGGCTTTGCCCCCCCGCAGCTTCTCACACAGGAACTGACATGGAGGAAGCACTAATTACATCTGAGTGACAGCTGACAAGCCTGCAGTCTCCAGGCATCAGTCAGGGTCCCCGGAGATGTTGGGGGGGGGCCTCATTAACAGCTCCCTCCTTCCCAAGGCTTCACTTGACTAAATCAACAAACGTTCATCATGCACCCTCTAGGAGGCCATCGGGGAAACTTTCCCAAACACGACAGATGGTCCCAGGCTGTGCTCCGAGAGGCCTGGAGACAGCTCTCCAGGATGCCTTGCAAACCCACCAGCCGCCCACGGACAAACACGTCCCATGTAAGAATCTCGTTGGGCCTGGACCATTTTAAGAAGTTTTGACACTTAGTATCCAAATAATAAATATCAGGAGATTTCACATAAAAATCTGGATTTCCAGCTTCTCTTGAAATAGCTGAAGCTCTGAAGACACTGGGCCTGCCTTCTTACGTGGCAGCAACTGGCTGGAGCTGAGTAGTGGCCACCCCTTGTGGACAGCGCCTGTGCTCTCCAGCCTGCATCAGTCCCTACCTCTCCCTATTGCCTTCCGTTCAGCCTGCCTCTCTCAGTTGTGTTGTCTGCCTGGCCCTTATAGGCATTTGAGTTTGCAAAGCTTGGTCTTAACATCTGGTCTTGTGGGAGCCAAAACACTGCCTCCCCAGTCGGCGAGCTCCTCAGTGAGATCCTGCAGGTGGGAAAGTGAGGGGGCAGAGGGCCCCATGTAGAACAGGGAGGGGTCTGAAATAAGACTTAGCGACTCTATCCTGGAGCCTCCGACTGGGCGAAATGAGGATGACACCACTGAAATTTTTATATCCACCAAATGTTTATTGGGCAACCCCCATCTATGCCCTTATCAGCTCACGACCATCCTTTGAGTTAATTCCACTTGCAGACCCCTCTACCTCTATCTGCACACCCCACCTCTGGCTCCTCTCACATGACTGGCTCCCCCTTGTCCCAGCAAAGACATCAGCACGGCAGCAGGGACTTCCCAGACGTCTGTAACTCAGTGGTTCCCCCTTTTGTTCTCCATCCATCATCTAGTTTTATTTCCTTCACAGACTGTTGGCAGAATTCATTTTCTTGAGGCAGAGAATTCATGGCAACTTGCTTCTTAAAAGCCAACAATGGAGAGAGAATGTGTCTCTGCTGCCTCAAATCTCTGACCTCTAGATTTTCTTCTAAAGGACTCACCTGATTAGGTCAGGCCCACCCAGGGTGATCTACCTTTTGATTAGGAATTTTAATTGCATTAGCAACATATTTTATTAGTTAGAAACAAGTCATAGTTTCCACCACACTCAAGGGGAGGGGATTACACAAAGGTGTGACTCACAGGGTCACCCTAGGGTGTGCCTGCCAGAAATGGCTTCCCCAGCTCACCCAGCTGTGGAATTAGGATTGCATTTGAGTTTTCTGACCCAATGTTTCCCATCATACTGCTCATGGTGAGCCGTTGCTAAGATTTGTCCTTTTAATGATGGGGACGTGTGTTTAGGGAGGTGTTTGTAAGGGAATATGCTGGGCTTATAAGGAAAAGTTTCCCTTTAAAGGCAAATTTCCTATTAGGCCACTGGTTCTATAGCATTCTATCAATATGACCCGCATGAAGTCTCAAATTTAATTAATTTTCTGGCGGTGGAGTGGCATGGATAGATGATAGAGCTTCTTGGAGAAATGTCCTCTCCATTTCTCTCTCACATTCAGTCCATCTTCAGAAATGTGGAGTTGGTGCTCAATTCTGAGCGCCAGGGTTGGGAAAATGCTGAAAGGTGATGTCTAGTGGAAAAGTGCTTTAAAAAAGTGCCTCAAGTTCACTGTTCAGGAGGCCAAACACAGAGCTTCTTTTTTCTCTTAAAAAGTTTTCAGCTCTATATATTGAAATCCATCCATTTTCCACATAGTAACTCATGAGCAATTTGTAACAGAAGTCAATAGTAACATAGGGTTTGTTTTACATATATTCGCTCTGCAGATAACCAAACAGAAAAACTTCTATTTGATGAAGTAAAGGGTCTATCATCTACCTATCTCTCTCTCTCTCTCTCCCCCTGTCATCTGTCTGTATTAGTTTTCTGTTGCTGCTATAACAAATTACCAACTTAGTGTGTTGTTGTAAACAACACAAACTTAATCTT